GATTTAGCTAACTTTATCCCTCAGTTTTAATTTCATTATGATTTTGATGTGATACTTTAACAGTTTTTTAAATAAAAAAAATATACTAGTAGTTACTTAAGGTTGTGTTTTTTGTCCACACGTCTAATTAAATCTATTAATAAAGGTCAAAGGCATGTTTACCTCTGCAAAATTCAGCCTAAATAAAGGAATGAAAGAATAAGGGCAACATGCAAACAATAACACCAAAACCATTTTGTCTGTCCACTTTTAAAGACATTTGATTAAAAAGTAAATCCTAATAAAACTTCAATACTTAGGTCTATATTTGCGTTTGCATTATTATTAAAAGCTATAGATAGTTTGAATTTCAAGCTCATCATAGTTATATTTTTAATTACACATGGGATTAAAACCACAATCATGTGAACAGTCATAGACACATAATGTTCATAAGTGTCTTCATTAACTGACATTTTCTTCCAAAATATAAAATATTTCCATTCTGTGCAAAATAGTTAGCTAATTGTTGTTGAAACTAAACTGACACTAGCTTTAAGAGTTTGTTGATTGAAATATTGCAATTTCTTCAGCGCAAAATGAAAGCGCACATGAATTTGAAGTGATATTTAACCATTTAAATTTCAATTACAGTTGCTCACGCTGTACATATATAGCTTCGTCGACTAACAGAAATTGAAGATATCTTATTTGGGAATATGGTAATATCAATTATTTTATTGGAGAATATTTTTGAAACTTAAGACACCGATACCTAAATATTATAAATTGGTACATCTGTGCAAATAGTTGTGTAAACAAATCTTTATTTGAACATAGAGATAGCTTCCATCTCAAGTTTTAAGGTTTGAAATAACGCCTCTTTACACTTTATAGGTTTATAGTCACACACCATTAGCTTTTCAATCTGCAACTTTTAGTTTCTCAAGGTTCTTACTAAGTTAGGGAGGTAATGGCTTTACTGAGAGTTGACCTTCTTGCGTAAATTCTTAATCTTAAAACCATTCAACCATTTAACTGTGGTTATATGAAATTTGGACATTGAACGAAGTTAATGGTTTCGTTGATATAGTGGTTAACAGAATTAATTGACTAATTAGCTTTTCCAAAAAGGTATCTTAGAAACAGTTATATTTATAGAGTGTCTTCGTGATGACGCATTTCATTACGATTAATTGTTTTCAAAAATCGTTTCAACGATAGTGAATTAAAACACTTTGTAGTCAGTAAATATTCAAGTAGTATTGTATAGATGACCTTGCCCATAAATGCCCTGCATGCTCTTGAGTAGGATATTTAAACTAGTTTAACCTTTTAAGACATTTATTATACAGTATTTCATCTAAACATTTTAGTATAAACATATTTAATAAAAATAGCCAGTTTTAAATTATCCAGATATTATAAAACAGATATTCAGTCATCACATTTCTTTATGAATTTAAAACAACTTATTAGTGCCCAAATAACATAGATATTTACATAATTAAATTCGAGAAAATCTTCCATTATTTGACCATCCATCCCCAATAGAATTCAGTATATTTAGTTTATCTAAAATATAAAATTAAATAATAACAGGTACTCGGGAATACAATGTTGTCCAATCAGTATGCAAACGAGATTGTTTACATCCATTAAACACAATTCACTTTGGTAATAAACCATCATCGAAGGCTGGTCAAGCAAATAACTACAGCTAGTGCACATTGATGTTAAATCCTATTTGGAGCATAAAAGATCCACTTGACAACCACTTCCACGGAAATATTTAAGTGATTTCGTTATATTTAAGAGGAAATAGAACCTATCATATGTTTGATAACACGAGCTTGTATAAAACAGAGGATCCCTGTCTGATGCACGCTTGTATCGAGAATATCAATTTTCTTGACAGGTTTGCTTAAATCCTTCACCAGAAAGGATAACGGTGAGCGTGAGAGTAATTGGTTTTCGATAACCGAATAAGGCAAAATATTGTAATTGAAACGTGGAAGACTTAACTTGGTAGGTGTACGATTGATATTTTAGACACAAATTGTATGCTAGATAAAGATTGTATGCTAGATTTTATTAGTGGTAAAAAAAATCAGATAGGAGCAATTTTATCAAATATGGTGTACAATTTATTGACAACTATATGAAAAATATTAATATATCTGTTTTAATACTATTCCGTTACAATTCTTTTTAGTTAAACAATTTTTCTTTAAGTCTTTTCCTAAACGTAGGCTTGTACAGCATTGCACACTAAAATTTTAAAATAATATACTAGGCGAACGAACAAAAGACTGAGAATATTATGGTTTTTTTAGTTAATAGGCTATATAAATCTAAACAAAAAAAAATATTATTTTCACCTCAAAACTTTGGTTTTATGATTAAATTCAGTGATGTAACATAAAATGAACACATTATTTTGCCACTTTTAACCCTTCAATGAAAGTACTGGACAGTTTCAATATTAAAAATATCAATAACAGTTTGGCGAAAGTACAATAGTAAAACGGTTTGGCGAACCCGATTATAAACATAATTATGGTGAACTGTTTACAATTCATTAGCTAAAGAGATTATAATACGTTTTGCCACCAACCTTTAAATCAGGGTTTGCGAAGTTAGCTAAACTAGTTTTAATACATTTTAAAACTGTTCTGGCAAGCAATTACTGTTATTTGCTTTGTAACCTGATAAAAGCTTAAAGTTTCCTAAAATAATTTTATGAGTTTCCATTTTGATAGATTTGTATTATACTTTTAATTTGAACTTTTTCACGGTTAATTTAAGTATACATTTATAATTATCCATTTTATCAGTGGCCTAGGAGATTCATAATTAAAAAAATAAATATAAAATAAAAGAAAAAAAACTAAAGCCCTAAACAAAAATTATGATTTTGACATTCCCTTCTCTTCAAGATTATCTTTCTTTTAACACAAAATCATAAAAATCCGTCAAGTGGTTGAGTGAGAATTTTAAAATAAGAGTATAAAAACTCTCAACCATATAAGATACTACATTTGTGGTAAATGTATTTGAGTCTGTAGAAATGTAATCTCTGGGAAAAGCAGATTTGAGATAACCATCCTGTCCACTGACATAAAAATCTAAATGGAATATTGGGAGCCTATACATCTGCTTCAGGTTATTATAAATCAATACCGATGGCGTGAACACAGCCTATTGTGGCTCGATCAGATTACAGACAATAGGGAAACGGCTCATGAGAAAGAAATCATTCTTCTTTAGTGTTAATGTACACTGGTTCAAAATTACTAAATTTAGCATTCGGATTGATATTGATGTCCTTAATGTTTATTTATGTATTTATTCATTCAAACGGTTATAACTAATACAGTGAAAATAATTAGTGTTAGGGCACATGTGTACATGATGGCTAATAATAGATATCAAAGTTACAAATAAATAATTAATTAACATACAGTACGGTAATTGCTGAACTAACAAGTGAAAGAGTGATGACTAGAGTGATCATTTCGTAAATAATAAATATTACATTGTTGTGCACGCATTAACAATAACAAAGGAATCAAAGATGAATAGTAAATATATATGAACGGTTGTTCAATAAGTTAATATACTCTAAATTAATAACCAGTTACAATGTATTAATAACAATAGAGAGTAACAATAAATAATTATACTCTTGGATAACAATGACTTAGCAAATAAATACAATAAAATTATTCATGCAAATAGGCAATAATAATCAGAATCAGGTCAATACTACAGCTACAAATTTATGACTGTCCGATTTGGAGGGATCCACTGCAGAAGCCGTTGGACTTCTTTCTTAACAATGTTTGTACAGTTGTTAATGTAGGATATATTTCTTTTGACCATACTTTCTTATCAAGTACCATCAAGTACCATACTTTTCTTTTATCAAAATCTTCTAAATGACCAATTTGAAAGTGTGACATTTATTCAGCTCTCCTTTATTTTGCAATTTCAAGTAAGTAAGCCTTCTGTCGTTGAGAATACCACATAGCGTAGTCTATCAAGTACGTTTTGCAGCCAAAATGTATTTAATAGGTGCTGATTACTAAAATTATTGATCTTTATTTAATGCTTTATTTTGTGCAAAGATTAACTGCAAAAACTGTGTATTGCTGTTATTATTTATGTAAGTCTATTTATTTATTTTTGTGAGATTACTTTATTGCCAATTTATAGGGACATAAACTTTATTCGGGCCTCTATAGACGCCAGAACCTTTAAAAAATAATGCATGTAAAAACATAAAATTCAACATACCTTTTTAAATGCTGGATATAGCCATGCAGGGCTATTTAAAAACATTTTTCACTATCCAATAGAGTACTATTGATACTATCTCCAAAACCCACTGCGTATACTAGTGAACATATTGAGTTTTAAACTGTTTAACATTTAGAAAAAAATCTTATTTTGCCACTGATATAGTTCAGTAATCAAATCGACATTGAATTTGATACATTCATTATACAACCGAGAACTCAGGAACGATTCTAAAGTTACGATTGAACGATTGAAGTTGGTGGCGGATTACTCCCACTCGTTTTCAGACAGTGGGGTAACTTTCTGAAAATAATTAATTTTAGTTATAGTTAAAAAATACTTAAAATGATTAAAGAATTTTAATCGAAGAGAAATATAAGCTGCGTGGAATTTAAGGAAATTAAACTGTCGAATAGATAATCAAACCAACAATATTGGCAGACGCAACGTTATAAGTATATAATTATCTGTAGGTGTAGATAAAAGACTAGAAACGATGAAATGATTATAAATACAAATAGAAGCTGTCTGTAATCGAAGAAATCCACAGAGTGGTTGAATCCAATCGATAATAGCACTAACAATTGGGAGATGCACTACCTGCGTGTGTGGAGGTGTATCTACCACTTGGCTCATGCGCCGGGGTTGGGTTTTAAGGGGGGGTTTCAAGGGGGGTTGACTGGGTGGGGTTGGCACGCCAGTTTCCCTGAGTCCCGTGCTCAGTGTGTTTGATCATGTGGAGGTGTCAAAAAATTTGAAAATGTTTTGGATGTTCAAGCGGTCCCGCTTCACCGACAGCGCCGTGGCCTTCTTCAACAGCATCAACAACAATCATTCCACCGGAAATGCCGCGGGTAAGTGGAGGAAGCGGAAGCGGAAGCGGATATTAGAGATCGCGGAACCGCAGAGAGTTGCTGTGAGGATATTTAAGTAAACCTGTGGTAGTGGTAGGAGGGATACAAATTTTACTTTTTTGTCATTCCAAAAGAAGACGTTCCAAATTTTCTGTCCAAACAATTTTTTTAAATATTTTAAAACAAATAATCAGTATAAACTAAACTTACCAAGTAATAAGTCCAATTATCAAGCTAAGACGAATACAAAATACTTGTTTTAATCAGTCCCTATGCACTACACAGTATTATTTTATAACATTTATTTTTAACCAGATTTAATCTTTGTTTAAAATGCACGGTTGTTAATTTTAAGAAATAGTGTAGTTTATTAGATTGTAAGTTGCTTTCATAATTACGTACGCACACTTCTTAAAGTATAGAATTAGCATGTTATTTAATTGTATTAGGTACAAAAAATAATGATGCCGTGATTCGTTTAATCCATTTTTGAGTTTTAGATATTTTATGTATACTTAGAACGATGCTTACTTTAAAATTTGAGACTGCACAGTTCTCTCAAATGTCTAAGGTATAAAGTTTGTAATTGAATATTTAATTATCAGCTAAACATAACTTATGAGCTCAGAGATAGTCTTCATTATCCATCTGAACTTTGCAGTTCAAAACATAATTTATTTAAACTTGGAATTTGTATTCAACTGAATACTTTTGTAAAACGTTTAATTAATGATTATATGACTTCTAACAAGGAATATTATTACAAGTGACTAATGATGTCTGCAGGATAATATTGTTTAATGGTTATAAAGTGTAAGAAATGTTTTACCTGTTTGGTTTTTTGCGCAATTGACGCAAATAATCTATACGTACGTTTAATAAGATCGAGAATATGCTAAATAAATTGATGGCAAGTTTAATTTTATACCCTATAGACTATGTTAGGATTTATTTGTAAAAAGAATTTAAATTAAAATACGTCAAATACACGTTTAAACTAAATCTGTCATAAACTGTCTAAATTTGTTTATCAAGGATATGCCATAGCAAAAGTATATCAATTAACGTGGATATTAAATGTTCAATAGTATGTTTTCCTTTGATAGGTATACATTTACATTACATCGTTATTGTTGATCTAAACATTTGTTCAAAGTGTCTAAGACAAAAGTCGCTTATCACAGATAACTCACCATACTTGTACTATACTTTGATTGTTAATTATATACAAACTAACTGAAATATATTAACCACGAACGTTCTGGTACTAGCCTAAAATAGTAATATGATTTATTTGCTTATGGATAACTATTTTCATATGATATTGGGAGTTCTTCTTGAGAGGAGCTTAAAAATTGGATTCAATTTTATCCACCTAGGTGGTAAAGTTGCTAGTATGTTTATAAGTCTGCTTTCAAATCCCACTTAGAGTTTAGTTTTGAAGACCCAGAAGACGTCCGTCACAGTTAACAAACGTTAGATACTTTAATTCTTATAAACTGTGTTTATACCTACATTTTTACCTTAAATAGTTATTTAAATGACTACCAACAGAATGGTTATTATTTAAATCTGGTATGGTCCTGTATAAGTGAAAGTGACGTGACATGATATATGATTGTGTATTTATACTCGGAATGGTCCTGGAATACCAAGTTGATCCTACCGTCAAGCTAGCGCTCATCCGCTTAGTGCTACCTCTACCGCATATGTTTCTGTAACAACATCATCCATTTTATCTCAAAAAGACAGTATAATTAAATACCCTGCCACAGCAAACCTGCAGACTAACTGAATTTCCATTTACCTGGCTGGATATCTAATAAACATTCCCTTAAAATTGTCAGATTTATTTCCTATTTAAATAACATAAGTTTTAACAAGTACTTAGGTTTTATGCTACAGGGAATATATTGAGGTGCGTTTTTTATTGAAATATTGATAGCTTAGTATAAAATAATTAAAATGGCAAACTTTTACTAAAATACATCCATAAACAAGCAAACTACAACCGTTTATTTGTTCTGCATAAGAAAAACTTGGGAATTAAAAATTTTGTTTTAATTATCTCCCTAACCCACTAGGCATACAACAACGCTCCAATATACAAAATTATTTCTTTTTTAAGCTCTAATGTCTTTCGAAATGTCTTGAAAGGAAATTGCGAAATTTTGTGTTGTCAGGGAAAAAAATGGAAAAAACTAATTTCTACCCCATAAAACTCTCTATAAACCCCTGTTCCCATAGTCTGATCATGCTAGTTAGCAAACTCGTTCAAGGTTTACACGTTTGTACCAACATTTTCATCAAAATCGGATCACTTTTGCTTGAGTAATCGCGCTAACGGACACACACACATGTATATTGCTAATCTACACATATAGGCCTACATATTTGAACGGATGGTGTTTTTGGCCTCTGGGGACCTCAAAACGAAAAAAGTAAATCAGTTCCGGGTCTAGGTCTTACCATGAGACCTACGGTAATAGCTTATTCCCTATATGGGAAATTCGCTAAAAGTTTGCTTTCATTGTCGCAACATGTCATATTTGCTCAATATTTTATTGACGTTGTATTACGATTTTTGTCCGGTTATCTTTGTTTGATTTTCATCTTACGCAACATATTGGAAAATCTCCCATCTCTTATTTCGTAACATTTTAGCATCAATCAACTTTTCTGAGTTTTCCGCTCTCGTGAAAATTGGAAAAGTTAGAGTGCCAACTTCTGTATGTGTCAGGTATAGAGAGGTGTGTCGCCAGCCTAATGACTTGGGTCTAACTACGATGGGGGGTGGTTTCATTTCCGGCCTATAAAATCAAGGGTTCAAACTTCCGAAACTCCCTCCTCTCCCGCATAAATAGGTTACAAGCGTTAGTATTTCTTTCATTATGTTCAACTGGCCTAGATCCAACTAGTAATAGAAGAATATTCTGTTTTAGGTTTAGTATCCAATAGGCCTGTGGTAAATTTAAAACAATCGGGAATAAATCGGAGTGGATTTTACCATACAATTTGAATTTCCGTTTTAATTTAGTACAGTGAAAAATTAGGAAAGCATTTTATTTATTACCTCAATAAAAATACCTTACAACCTTAAAATGTATGAAGGCTTAATAAATGAATGCGATTGTAATACAATTATAACAAAAGATGTGATGTTATGTCCAAAGAATTTAAAATTACTTAACCATGTTGACATACAACACCGTCAACATGCAATATCGTGTGATATTAAGTTATGCTGCATCACCAAGCTTTGTAGTCTTAACTGTGCAGTAAACGACTATGTGAACCCTCTGCACGTTACAGGTAAAATATACCACAAGAGTATGTAAAGATCTAGATCGATTATTAGCTAGTTGGTAAGCTAGGAAATAAAAACAGTTTATTATGGCAGATAAACTTTTACCAAGTCCGTAACCTCAAAACGTTAACTATTGGCAGTAATATCCAATTGTATCAATTCAATCAATTATTTATGATGGGGATATCACTATGTGTGTATTTTAACCCAAATATGAGTGAAGGATGAGTGTAGGGTGGGTGGCGCGATCTTGCAGTCTTGTTAGTGACTAAGGCCCACATGTTGCTTAGACACCGCTGCTAATGAAAAGCTAATGAAAAGCCCATACAGCCAATGGCACCTAAGGGTACTAAGGGACCTGCAGTTTTATAGTTAAATCCGAACCACATTTTCCTTGTAATTAACAAATTGGGGTACTTTCCTGTTGAAGGGAACATTCATTATTATGGATGACTTTTTTCTTGATATATCGATATTAACAAATTGATACATATCAGCTGACAACTACGATAAATATTGTTCAGTATCAACAAACAATAATAAAATGAAATGTTTCCAAAAATATAACCTAACATAACTAACCAAACTTGCTGTAACATTTAAAAATTCCGTGTTTAACTTGCCTTTTCTATTTTCAAACCCAAACGGAATTTTTAAATGGTACAGCAAGTATAATTGGTTATGTTAGGTTAGCTTAGAACAGTTTCATTTCTTAATCCATATTATAGACTTTTTTAGCCTAAACAAGATCAGTTAGTTGTTGTCAGAATGGATCGGAAAACAAAAATATCGTTATACCGAAGAAATCATCGATAATAATGAATGTTTCCTTTAACAGGAAAGTACCCAAATTAGTCTAATTAGCAGGATAGTAATGCAGAAAATCGTAGTACTCACTAGTGTGGACAATAATCCACATAAGGGAGTATCGCATCTACAGTGCATAGATCAATAACCATGCAGTGTAAATATCCATAACGATGTTAACAATGTAGCCAAATAATTGTAGAATATTAGAGACCGTAGCTCTTCCCAAATATGGTTTTGGGGGGAGGGGTAGGCATCCAATTCTGTGAAGCGGGTTATTGTACAAGATTAATCTATGACCATCCTTCTCTTGTGATTTTGTGGAGATGTAACAAGCACTTGGGCCATTGTGAATTGCTCTTTTCAATTATTCCATCATTTAACAGCTTAATTATTTCAGCTTCGATGAACTGAGAATTGTTGAGTGAATGGCGAATGGATTTGACAGCTATAGGTTTACAATCAGAAGTTGAGCTATGGGGGTGTGCTAGTGTCCGTTACTAGTTTTTTTTGTATATACCTTTTAATCAAGCAAAACTGAAAGGTCAAGGTATTGTTACCGGTAACTAATATCTTTCACTACTCTGCAATCATCAAAGTATCGAAAAATGAGTGTTGAAATAGTTTAACAGTGACACAATTTGAGAGAGAGTCATTCAACTATGTTCTTTTCAAATGAAAAACCCTCCAACAAATTAGTATAAAAACTAATATTCCAATAACATATTGATTCATTATAACAGACATACTTAATCTGTTTGTGTACGTGTACCTAAAAGGAAACGCAATGTTATAGTTTATTACATATTATTTTACACACTGGATAACTTCGTTGGTCATGCGTAGTCGGTTGTGTTTTGTGCAATATGAAATTAATAAAGCTGTA